AAAACTTCCCTAATCTGGAGAAAGCAGTCAACATCCAGGTACAGGAAGTGTATAGGATTCCAACCAAATTCAATTCAAAAAGAGGAGTTCATTACAAAACACTGAGGAAGGAAATCACAGAGGCTGTAAACAAATGGAAAAACATCTCATGCTCATGTGCTCATGGATCAGCAGAGTCAACATTGTTGAAATGTCTGCACACCCAAACTGAGTTACAGATTCAATGTGATCCCCATCAAAGTACCAAAATAATTTTGTGCAGATCTAGAAAGAATAAACCTACACTTGATTTTTGTGAGAGGTGAGAGGCACAGATCCTATTTCAGTCTTCTACACGTGGCTGTCCAATTTTCCCAGCACCAGTTATTGAATAAAGTAGGCACATGTGGAAAGAGTGAGGAGGATACCAGATGGAAAGAACACTTATTGCCTGCTAGTTATTTTCATTTCTCTCCCACTTCACTGTCAAACACTTGTATCCTAAATGCAGGATTTGGCTCTATGTATAGACATTATAATTTGATCATTTCCTTCAACGCTAGGCAGCACATCTATAACATCTTTGCCAGATCTTATAGATGATCTTATAGATGTGGTATCCTTTAGGGTATCACAATCTTTCTCAGTGTCTGTAGATGTTCTGATTCTGATGCAACCTGGCTGAGCCAAACAGGTGTTCCCAGAGATTTAGGAGAGAAATTAAGTAATTCACTCAAAAGAAAGAAGCTTTTCATATAGGAATCTCTGCTAGTGCATATGTATCTGCTTTTACCCCAAATCTTTTTTATGTGGCTATATTCTTATTTACTTAACCACCATCTGCAGGGATGGAAGCATCTTCCTGGTCAGGTAGATTGGCAAAGTTAGTAGCCTTACTAGTTAAAGTTCCTGTTGAGATAGGGAACCAGCCAGCGCTGTGTGATAAGATGAGTTTTCTTCTCATCTGTGTAAGGTAATGGCTAAAAGCACAGGTATCAAAATTAGTTGGGGATGGATTCAAATTCTCGCTGTTATAAACTAGCAGTTATAAGCTTGGGCAGGTTGCAACTTTTCCCATATATAAAATGGAGATGTTACCAATATCTCATTAAATCTCTGAAATCTAAAAATATAATTATCAGGTCTTTAGATAAAACTTTCTTACCTTCAGTGGCAATCTGTCATTGACGTTTTTGAAGTTATGATCAAAAATAATAGCAGCCAGCACATGAACATTCTTATATTCATACTTAATGTACTTCTCAAAAGCTTCTTCTGAGGAAAAGCCTCGAACTGTAGAGAAATAATTTAAGTAAATTACCCACATAAATGTGAAATGTCTAATGATCATTGATGTCTATAATATGAATACCATAATCTTGTAATATTATAAATTTCAAAACATTATTACTTAAAAATTGACATCACAGACCTCCTAATAGATATTTGGGGTACATAAAAATTCTGAAGTGTACTATAAAGCTATATAACATTATGAATATCTAATCATTACCATAACTGTATATTGAGGTAAA